ATACACAATAAATTACAATAAAACTATTTAAAAAAAATTCTATGCACAATACATTTTAAAGTATTGAGTATAGAATTTTTAAAAATGGTTTATTTTAATTTATTTTGGATAGAATCTTTTTTTTAAATAGTCTAAGACAATTTTAAAAAAGAATCCACAAACAATAAATTGAAGTAAACCATTTTAAAATATTCTATACTCAATACTTTTAAGTGAAACTGTTTTAAAAAATTCTATGCACAATAAATAAAATATTACTAAAAAATACATTAAAAAAGAAAAGAAAAAAAATGGGACACTTACCAGCAGGCAGAATCAGCAGCTCTCCCATAGCAGGAAGGCAAGGAGCAAGGCAGCAGGACAAGTAAGAGTGGACTGGTTACTGGAGGGACAAGGGTTGTCGCTAAGCATTCCGCCTGGCAGCAAGGCTGGAGATGGGGGGTGGGAGGCTTTCAGCCACATGGCGTATGCCAGGCTGCAGCTTGTGCGAAAGCTAGGCCACCACCGCCCACCTGCTTTCAGCTGCATGGTGTATGCCAGCCCGCAGTTTTACCTAGGGAAGGTCTGAAGGTCTTCCTTTGTGAAAGCTAGGCCGCCACCGCCCACCCACTTTTGTCCGTGTGGTATACGCCAGCCCACAGCTTTCACTACAGAAGGCCTGAAGGCCTTCCCCCTGTGAAAGCTAGGCTGCCACTGCCACCTATCCGCTTTCGGCTGCGTGGTATATTCCAGCCTGCGGATTTGGTGAAAGCTAGGCAACCGCCGCTGCCCACCCACTTTCAGCCGCATGGAGTACACCAACCTGCAGTTTTCACAAGGGAAGGCCTGAACGACTTCCCTCACGAAAGCTAGGCAGCCACTGTCACCCACCCACTTTTGGCCACGTGGCATACGCCAGCCTGCAGCTTTTGTGAAAGCTAGGCTGCTACCGTCGCCCACCCATGGCATACGCCAGCCCACGGCTTTCACAAGGGAAGGCCTGGAGGCCTTCCCTCACAAAAGCTAGGCTGCCGCATTCATCCACCCACTTTGGCTGCATGGCGTACACCAGCCCATGGCTTTTGATAGGGAAGGCCTGAAGGCCTTTCCTCACGAAAGCTAGGCCACCGCCGCCACTGCCCACCTGCTTTTAGCCACGTGGCATACCCCAGCCCACAGCTTTCACCACAGAAGGCCTGAAGGCCTTCCATTGCGAAAGCTAGGCCATTGCCTCCACCGCCACCCACCCGCTTTCGGCCACACAGCGTACGCCAGCTTGCCACTTTTGCTAGCCTCCCTAGGCCCACTGCCCTGCCTCATGCTTAGTTCCTTACCTGAGGAAAACAGCAAGCTCCTGGAAGGCAAAGTTAGTTGAAATGGAGGACCCGGTCAGCAAGCACGATGTGACAGCTTCTCCGGAACGAAAGACTCTTTTTAAAAGAGAAGTCTCTAAAAGAGAAAAAGGAATGTTGGTGGTGCCACGCTTTTAAATGGGCCGCCTCCAGCCCGCTCACTGATTGGCTGGACTCCAATCGGCAGGCAATAAAATGCAGAGCCTAAGATGAAAGGGGTACTGCTGCCGCGCTGCTGTTCCTACAAGTAGCCATTAAACAGTCAACTTTTTTTCTCTTGCCTCTGCTTGTTCCATAACCGAGCCTCCGAAGCACGTGCCTATATATATACTTTATATCAGCAACTTCCTGTCAATTGAAGAATATTTGCTTTGATTATAAAGAAAGCATTCGATCTGTAAGAAGCACACATATTAAGACTGACCTCACTATGTATTTTTCAATTTCACAGTTTTAACTGGGTTGAAAGGATAAAAGTCATAGCCATAAAATGAAAAAAAAACTGAACACCTCATTGGGAGGGCAGAGCATATACAGCAGTGGTTCTCAACCTTCCCAATGCAGCAACCGTTTAATAAAGGTTTTATTATTGTGGTAACCCCCAACCACAGAGGAAAGGTGTCTCGGTTCCTAAGACCATCTAATATATGTGTTTTCTGATGGTCTTAGGTGACCCCTGTGAAAGGGTTGTTTGACCCCCAAAGGGGTCCCG